TCAGACACTTACCAGCTATGTGACCCTGGGCAAGTCACTTAACCCTGTTTGCCTCAGTTTCTTCATCTGTAAAAAGAGCTAGAGAAGGAAATAGCAAACCACTCCAGTATTCTTGCCAAGAAAATCCCCAATGCGGTCATGAAGAGTTAGACATGACTGAAAACAACTAAACAACAACAATATAGATGAAATCATGCATCCACTCCTGCCCATATACACATGCATATATATTTATATATGCATATAAATATACACGCATATACATATAGACACATATATATGTATCTGTGCATACACACATCCACATATATACACACATAGAAAATCGCACAGGTTGAGAAGGCACAGATAAGTTGTGATCTGCGCTGGTAGAGGGAGTGTGCATGTCAGGGAAAGCACAGTGTTAGTGAAGTATCAGAATAATTCCAACAAGCTTCCAAAATTATTTTCTTCAAGAGCAGATCTAACTACGCCACTCTCCCATTCAACAAACTTCCATGGCTCCCTATTGCCTCTAAGATAAAATATTAACTTCTATTTTTGGCTTTTAAAGCCCTTTATAATTTGCCCTAAACTTATCTTTGCACATTAATTACATATTACCCCATTTTCTACACTGTGTAACTCGTCAAACTATCCTTCTCTCTGTTCCTCACACACAGAACTCTTATCTTCTTTTTCCAAGCCTAGGAGCTAGATAACAGTGCTGGGATAGAGTGGTAGACTTGGAATCAGGGAGACCTGAGTTCAAATCCAGCCTCAGCTACTTATTAGTTGCATGACTGGGCAAATCGCTTAACTTTTGTTTGCCTCAGTTGCTTCAACTGTAAAATGGGGACGATAATATCACCTTCCTCCCAGGGTAGTTGTGAGAATCAAGTGAGATGATATTTATAAAACACTTAGCACAGTGCCTGGCTTGTGGTAAATACTAAACTAATGCTTTTTTTTCTCTTCTCTCCTGAGCTTGCTTTTGTACTTAGGCTACCATGAAGCTACATCAGCAGCCAAGCCTTAGTGCCCTATGACAAATAAGTCTCAAGGACAATGTCAATACGTTTTAGGGAAAAATTAGACCAGCATACCTGGCAAATATTGTTCCTACTCCACCAGAAGGCAAAAGCACCACCATCTACATGAAGCTTCTCCCAATCTCCCCCAACAACTGTCACTGCCTTCCCTCTCTCCCTCATATTTAACCACCTTGCATTTATTTTGTATTTATCCTATATGTATTTGTTCTGGTACCTATATAGGCACATATTGTCTCCCTCACTAGAATGTAAACTCCTTAAGAATGGGATTGTTGAATTTTTTTTTTGTATCTATATCTTTGGTGACTAGAACAATGCCTGGAACATTGTAGGCTTTTAATAAATGATTGTTGATTGATTGGTCTTCAAAGTGGATATTGGAGATCTGCTTGTCAAGGAAATGGGAACTGTAACTCTTACTGCTTTAGAGGCAGCTAGATGACACAGTGGATAGAGCAGTGGGCTTGGAGTCAAGATGAACTTCATAGCACAATAATATTCCATAGTAATCACATACCATAGCATGTTTAGCCTTTCCCCAGTTGATGGGTATCTCCTCAATTTTCAATTCTTTGCCACCACAAAAAGAGCTGCTATAAATAATTTTGTACAAATAGGTCCTTCCCCCTCCTTTTTAAAAAATATATCTTTGGGATATAGACTTAGCAGTGAAGTATTGCTGGATCAAAGGGTGTACACAGTTTGATTGCCCTTTGGGCATAGTTCCAAATTGTTCTCCAAAATGGTTGGATCAGTTCACCACTCCACCAGCGGTGCATTAGTGTCCCAGTTTTCCCACATCCCTTCTAATATGCATCATTTTCCATTTTTGTCATATTAGCTAATCTGACAGGCGTGAGGTGGTACCTCAAAGTTGTTTTAATTTGCATTTCTCTAATGAGTAGCGATTTAGAGCATTTTTTCATATGACTATAGTTTTGATTTCTTTGTCTAAAAACTGCCTCTTCATAACCTTTGACCATTTATCAATTGAAGAATGACTTGTATTCTTGTAAATTTGACTCAGCTCTCTATACATTTGAGAAATAAGGCCTTTATCAAAGATACTTGTTGCAAAATTTTCCCTCCAGTTTTCTACTTTCCTTCTAATCTTGGTTGCACTGGTTGTTTATATAAAACCTTTTTTTAATTTTATATAATCAAAATGATTTATTTTACATTTTGTAATGCTCTCTATATTTTCTTTGGTCCTAAATTCTTCCCTTATCCCTAGATCTGACCAACTATTCCATGCTCTCCTAATGTGCTTATGGTATTATCCTTTATGTGTAAATTATGTACCCATTTTGACCTTATCCTGATATATGTGTGAGATGTTGGTTTGTAACTAGTTTCTGTCATACTATTTTCCAGTTTTCCCAGCAGTTTTTGTCAAATATTGAGTTATTATCCCAGAAGCTGGGGTCTTTGGGTTTATCGAACAGTAGACAGCTGTAGTCATTTACTACTGTGTCTTACTTACCTTAACTATTCCATTGATCCACCACTTTATTTCTTAGCCAGTACCAGATTGTATTGATGATTACCACATTATAATACAATTTGAGATCTGGTCTGGCTAAACCACCTTTCTTCGAATTGTTTTTTATTGATTCTCTTGATATCCTTGACCTTTTGTTCTTCCAGATGAATTTTGTTAATACTTTTTCTATCTCTATAAAATTATTTTCGATAGTTTGATTGGTATGGCACTGAATAAATAGATTAATTTAGGTTAAATGGTCACTTTTATTTTACTGGCCTTGCCTACCCATGAGCAATTAATATTTTTCTAATTATTTAGAATTGACTTTATTTGTGTGAAAAGTGTTTTATAGTTGTGTTCATATAGTTCTTGAGTTTGTCTTGGCAGGTAGACTCCCAAGTATTTTATATTGTCTGCAGTTATTTTAAATGGAATTTCTCTTTCTATCTCTTGCTGCTGGACTTTATTGGTAATATATATATATACATAAATATATGTATTACATATAACATAATTATATAATACATGTGTATAAATATATACATATATGTGTATATATAAATGCTGATGATTGATGTGTATTTATTTTGTATCCTACAACTTTGCGTAAGTGGTTAATTATTTAAAGTATTTTTAGTAGATTCTCTAAGTATAGCGTATCACCTGCAAAGAGTGATAGTTTTGTTTCCTCATTGCCTATTCTAGTTCCTTCAATTTCCTTTTCTTCTCTTATTGCTATAACTGACCTTTCTAGTATAATATTGAATAATAGAGGTGGTAATGGGCATACTTGCTTCACCCCTGAATATATTGGGAAGGCTTCTAGCTTACCCCCATTACAGATAATGCTTGCTGCTGATTTTAGATAAATATTACTTATTTTAAGAAAGGCTCCCTTTATTCCTTTGTTCTCTAATGTTTTTAATAGGAATAGGTATTTTATTTTGTCAAAGGCTTTTTCTGAATCTATTGAGATAATCATATGATATTTGTTGGTTTTGTTATTGATATGATCAGTTATGCTGATAGTGTCCCTAATATTGAACCAGTTCTGCATTCCTGGTATAAATTCCACCTGGTCAAAGTGTATGATCCTTGTGATATATTGCTGTAATCTCTTTGGCACTATTTTATTTACTCCTCCCTGTTCTTCACTGCAATCTTCTTTCACACCCTTTTATTTTGTTGTTGGGGTATCATCCCATCAAAGTCACCTTATATCCATACCCTCTATGCACATTCCTTCTAATTGCCCTCATATTAATTATATTCTTGAGTTACAAATATTATCTTGCTATATAGAAATATAAACACTTTAACCTTATTGAATCTCTTACAGTTTTCTCTTTCTTGCTTCTTTTTTGCCTTTTATGTTTCTCTTGAGTCTTATATTTGGAGGTGAAATTTTTTATTAATCTATGATGTTTTAGTTAGGAATCCTTGAAAGTCCTCTATTTCATTAACTATCCCCCCCCCCCAAAAAAAGATTATATTCAGTTTTGCTGGATAGGTGATTCTTGGTTGCAATCCTAACTTCTTTGCCTCCATTATAACATATTCTAAGCCCTCAGGTTCTTTGATGTAGAAGCTGCTAAATCCTGTGTAATCCTGATTGTAGCTCCATTATATTTAATTATTTCTTTTTTAGCTGCTTACAGTACTTTCTCCTTGCTCTGTGAGCTCTGGAATTTGGCTATGATGTTCCTGGGAGTTTTCATTTCGGGATCTCTTTCAGGCTGTGATTAGTGAATGTTTTCAATTTCTATTTTGTCCTCTGGTTCTAGTATATCAGGGCATTTTTCTTTGCTAATTTCTTTAAAGATATTGTCCAGGTTTTTTGATTTTTTTTTTCCTGATCATGACTTTTAGGTAGTCCAATAATTCTTAACTTATTTCTCCTAGATCTATTTTCTAGGTCAGTTGTTTTTCCAATGAGAAATTTCACATTTTCTTTTACTTATTTTATTTTGTTTTATCATATCTTGACGTCTCATAGAGTCATTAGCTTCCACTTGCCCAAAAATAATTTTTAAGGAATTATTTCTTCAGTGAGCTTTTGTACTTCCTTTTCCTCTTGGCCAATTCTAATTTTTAGGGAGTTATTTTCTTCCATTAATTTTTGCATGTCTTTTTCCATGCTGTTGACTCATTTTTCATGATTCTTTTACATTACTCTCATTTCTTTTTCCATTTTTTCTTCTACTTCTCTAATTTGGTTTTTAAAATCCTTTTAAAGCTTTTCTAGGAGTTCTTTATGGGCCTAAGATAAAATTACATTTTTCTTTGAGGCTTCATGTGTAGCCATTTTGACACGATTGTCCTCTTCTAAGTTTGTACCTTGACCTCTCTGTCAGAGTACAATCAAATTCTTTTTTTTTTTTCCCCTGCCTATTTTGTAACTTTGTGTTTTTATGTGAGAAGTGGGCTCTGGTCCTGCACTGTCCCAGGCTTTTGTGCTTGGACTCTGGGGCCTGCGGCAGGGTCTCACCGAGTTGCAGGGTTTAGCTGCTCGTTTGCAACGGTGGCTAGACTTCCCTTCCGGGATTGCACGGGGAGGCGGAGCCTCCTTATTCGCCTTTCTTGGGTGTGGGGTTTAGCTGCGGGCCTGCTCCAAGATTGGGGCCTCGCTGCTAGGTTGCTATGGTAACAGAGTCTTTCTGCCGGCTGGCTCTGGAGGAGGGATCTTGTTGCTGGCCTGCCCCAGAGGAGGAGCCTTGCTACTGGGTTGCTATGGAAACAGAGTCTTTCTTCTGGCAGGCATAGGAAGGAATCTTGTTGTCGATCTGCTCCGGGAACTAGGCCCTGCTGCTGGGTTGCTATGGAAACAGGGCCTTTCTGTTGGAGGGCTCCAGGGCTGCGGTCTCGGTCTCGCTGCTGGCAGATCCCAGGGGCAGGGTCTCACCGTTGACTCTCCTCTGGGTCAGCAGTGGGGTCAGGCCTGGCCCGTGGCCTGTGCTGGGGGCGGATCTGCTGGGGCAGGGCCTTGCAGTGCTGCAGAGATCGCTGGCTTGCCTAGGGGGCCGCTGGTTTGCAGGAGGGCAGGGCCTTGCTGGTGGATTGCCCCAGGCTGGGAGCCCTGCTGCAGGCCCCTGCTCCGAGGCTGCTGCTGCTGCTGCTCTTGGACCTCTCTCCCCTCCCACCCCAGTGAGACAGACCTTTCCTGCCGTGCTGGTAAGCTGCCTTCCTGCTCCTCCGTCAGTTCTGCAGTGGTTTTCAGGGGAATTTGGGAAGGCTCCAAGGAGCTCCTTCCTCACTCCACCATCTTGGCACCAGAAGCCTAATGTTTTTCATTTTTTACTTTTGTCAACTTTGCCAGTCTGGCTATATCATCAGATTTTAAAGTTGTTTTATTTTAATTTATTTTATTATTATTATTATTATTGATCTGGCACATTCTTTCAGATGCATGTAAGTTCCTTGAATTTCTTCTTTGGAAAACTGTGTATTCATATTATCTAACCCCTCATCCATTAGTGAATGAATATTGTTCTTATAGGGTAGCTAGATGGTGCACTAGATAGAGTGGCAGTCCTGGACTCAGGAAGACCTGAGTTCAAATCTAACCTCAAGACACTTAGTAGCTGTGTGACTCTGGGCAGGTCACTTAACCCTGTTTACTCAGTTCCTCATCTGTAAAATGAATTGGAGAAGGAAATGGCAAACCACTCCAGTCTCTTTACCATGAAAACCCCAAATAGGGTCAGGAAGAGTCTGACACAACTGAACAACAATAACAGCAAATTGTTCTTACATATTTGTGTCAATTCCCTATTATATCTTGTATATCAGACTTTTGTAAGATATATTTTTGTAAAGATTTTCCCAATTATCTGTTTTCCTTCTAGCTGCATTTATTTTGTTTCTGCAAAAGATTGTCAATTTTAAGTAATCAAAACCATCCACTTTATTTTCAGTGGTCACCTCTTCTTTAATTAAGAATTCTTCCACATCCATAATTATTCAGATACTTCCTTTCTTTCTCCTTTATTTTTTTTTTGTGTGAACTTTATATTTATTGTGGAGCGCATTTTCGTTTGGATTTGATTGCAATATATGATGAAAGATGTTAGTCTAAACCTAATTTTTGATAAAATACTGTCTCAGTTTTTGTTGACTTATTATTATTGTAGTCCTTATTCCAGTAGTTGGTGTCCTTGGGTTTATTGTTGCTTCTGAGTTTTACTTACCTGGTCTAATCCACTGATCAACTTTTTGGAAGCTGTTCCTTTGGAAGGTGCATTCAACAGGACCAGTTGTGAAATGACTTCTTTCTTGCACTAAATACTTCTCTAGTGCCCCACAAATTTGGGGCATCTTTAGAGAAGTGCCCAACCTTTTTCCTAAGAACAAGTTTACCTAAAAGAGAAATTAGGGGTTTCACAGAGGAGGGATTCATACCTACTTAAATACGTTTGAAAGAAAAAAACAAGATTCCATTCAGTTCAAACAAAATAGCATCCATGATCAACATTTACATTTTTAAAAAACGGTTCTTTTATCTTCATGTAAACCCTGGGTCACTCCTTGGTGATAAGATTGGTTAGTGGGAAAGAATCCCAAATTGACAGGAGATCCCTTTGGCATATTATTGTCACATTTCTTTATCGAATCCAACATAATCAACAAATAGCTATGGCATGCCTACCATGTAAAAGCCATATGCTCAGTGCCTACCATGTAAAAGCCATATGCTATTTTCAGTTAATTTTAATTACTATCTACTACATGAAGCTGTTCTTGATTTCCACAATAGTTAGCATCTCCTTCCACTCCCAATAAAATTACTTTGTATTGACTTTTAATTTGTGCGTATGTGTTGTATCTCCCAGTCAAATTTAAGCTCCCTGAGGGCAGGGACTATTTTGGTTTTATTTTTTATTCCCAGTGCCTACCAGAGCCCTTGGTACATAGTAAGTGCTTAATAAATGCCTGGCAACTTGTATAAATTATTAAATTAATTGAGTTGAATTTAATTAAATTGCCTAATCTACTTCCAGGGAGTGGCCTGGAAACTGGTTAGAAAAAAAGGGCCTACTTTCTCCTAAATATCTGAAGCCAGTGAATTTTACAGTGACTTGGTTTGGTTTTTCTTTAAACAGGTCCCAAATTCGCATTATGTGGTACAGTAGAGAGAGTGCAGTCAGGACCGAGAGTCAAGAAGACTTGAGTTCAAATCCTGTATCAGACACTCAGTAGCTTTATGACTTTGGGCAAGCCCCTCATCTCTCTATGCTTCAATTTTCTTTTCTGTAAAATGAGGGTGAGAGCACCTACGTCACAGAATTGTTGTGAAGATCAAATGAGGTGACATATGTAGGATGCTTCATAAACTTTAAGGCACTGTATAACTGATTATTGTCATTGTTATTATAAGTGGGAATTCAATTGGAGTAGGTAAGAATCAAGTGAGTCAAAATGATGAAAGATAGCAAAATGATCCTGCAGTGCCAAGAACCAGCATCAACCTAAGGAATATGGTATGGGGAAGCCAATTCAGAAATCATATATGATGCAGAAGATATTAGATTTCATGCCTTCTCAATGGGTAAGAGAGAGAGAATAGAGGGAGAGAGAGAATTTGGAACCGAAAGTAAAAATAAAGAAATCACATGTGAATTCTACATTGTAAATAAAAAGGGGAAAAGGAGAGAAGAGGAAAAGAATAAGTATTTATTAGCACCTACTATGTGTCAGGCCCTGTGCTGTGTTCTTTTTGTTGTTCAGTCATTCATTGTATCTGACTCTTTGTGACCCCCGTGGATTATAGCATGGCAGGCCCTTCTGTCCTATCTCTTGAAGTCAGTCCAAGCTCATGTTCATTGCTTCCATGACAGTATCTATCCATCTCACCCTCTGCTGTCCCCTTCTCCTTTTGCCTTCAATCTTTCCCAACATCAGGGTCTTTTCCAATGAGTTCTGTCTTCTCATTATGTGGCCAAAGTATTATGGTAAGTGCTACTTACATGATTAACTCGTATGATACTCACAACAATGCTGGGTGGTAGATGTTATCATTATCATCTCCATTTTACAGATGAGGGAACAGAGGAAATCAGAAGTTAAGTGACTTGCCCAGGGTCACCCAGATAGTAAGTGTATGAGGCTAGATTTGAACTCAGGTGTCCCTGACTCCAAGGCCCAGCACTCTATCCAGTGTACTGCTTAGCTGCTCCCTTGGTGTCCCAGAAGAACAGCATACCAACCCTGAGTTGAGCCAACACGTGAATGATTGGCAACGCAGGATGATCGGCCAGTTAGTTGTAACTGAAAATAATTGAAATAATAATAATAATTGATATTTCAGTATGATGAGTGTGGACTGTCCAGAGTCCTTTCAAACGGTTTACACCTTTGTAAAGCTTCTGTCCTATACAATGAATTTTTTTCAAAGCTTCTGCTTTTCTCCTAAAAGGAAGTAGGAGCGTCGGTAGCAGACTGACTGATTACCAATGGAAGTTGTCAGTGTTGGGCACAGGGTAAGTGATGCGCCAAGCTGAGAAGGAGACCAGGTTCTAATTTTCATTTTGCTCATAATGGACTGTGACCTTAGACAAGCTTATCTGGACTTCTTTTTCCTCATCTATAAAATGGGAGTGGGAAGTGGCCTTTCCAGAATCCAAGACCTGTAAGTCTACAGAGCAGTTAAGTAACTGTTTAGGTGGAGTCTTGGATCGGAATGAGTGAGTTTTACATGACTCCCTGACTCATAAAAATGACAGGCTTTGGAAGAAAATATGCCAACTTAGGAAGGAAGAAAATCGCAGAGGGTCAGTTAAAGCAGCATACAGTGGATAAATCAGACTGGCAGTGCCTATTTTAAAGTCTGAAGCTTCTAAGCATTTGGCAACTTAAGACCTTGTTTGTTTTATGCCTTAGGAACACAAAAATCATCTTGTCCTAGTGTTACACCATATAGTTCCAAGAGGCTTGTGAGGACTTAAGAAAAATAAAAGTTAGAGGTGGAGGCAGAGAATCCTCTTTAGGTTTTTGTCAATAGCGTTGTCAATCTGTAACTGGGTTACTTTCCAAAGACAGAAGTTATTAAAAGGCTTGAAGAGCAGACATGACTGTTTTGCAACAAGAGATTTATGCCTGTTTAATGATACCACCCAGGGTAGGACAGATTGAAAATGGGATTTCAAAAGTGGCTGTCTCTTTTGGTGCCTGAATGTAGCAGAATCCAAGCCAAATGTGCAGGACTCCTGCAGCATGCAGAAGACGAAGTAGGCATCTGTGAACCACTTTCTTTTTTCACTACAGCAATGGTTGTGAGACAGAACCCCCCCAAAGCAAATGGACAGGGTTTTCTGAGGCAGTGAGGTATGGTGGGAGAAGGACTGACCTTAACATCGATAAAGTTAGGTTGGAATCCCAGCTTGGACACTCACTACCTTTGTGACCTTGGGTGAGTCATAGCCTTCCCGGCCCTTGGATTCCTCATCTATAAAATGAGAAGATTGGACGAGGTGGTCTCTGAGGTCACTTTCAAATCCTGGCTGGCGATCCTATGAATTTTGCTTCTCTGAGACTCAGTTTCCTCATCCTTAGAATCAGGATAGAAATCCTCATACCACTTATTCCACAGGGTTGTTGTGAGGAGAGCTTTCTGTTGACCTTAAAGTACTATGAAACTGTGAATTAAGGGCAGCTAACTGGTGTAGTGGATAGAGTGCCAGGCCTGGAGTCCGGAAGACTCATCTTCCTGAGTTCAAATATGGCCTCAGACACTTATTAGCTGGGTGACCCTAGATGAGTCACTTACCCCTATTTGCCTCAGTTTCCTTATCTGTAAAATAAGCTGGAGAAGGAAATGGCAAACCACTCCAGTATCTTTGCCAAGAAAACCCCAAATGGGGTCATTAAGAATCAGACACAACTAAAATCTATCCAAAATAACACAGAACTCAGAGTCAGGAAAACCTGGGTTCAAATCCCACCTCAGATCCTTGCTAGCTGTGTGACCCTGGGCAAGTCACTTAAATTCTCTGGTCCTCAGTTTCCTCACCTATAAAATGAAAGTATTGGGCTCAGTGACCTCTCAGATTCCTTCTAGCCCTGAATCTATATATGATCCTATGAACACATGTTACTAAGAAGCTAAACAAAAAGCTCCCTTTTTATCATGTGGTTAGTGGGGGCCTATTCATGCCCCAAAGTTCATATGGCAAACCGCACCAGATAGAGTATAGCTTTGCATCCTCCTGAGGACTGCGATTTCATTGGCCAGAGCCCTGTTACACCTGTTACAGTGGGCTGGAGCCAGCGTGTGAAGTGCTGTATATGCCAAGCTGTTGAATGTGTATTTTACCCAAGAGACAAGAGGTACCTAGGTCCTTGAGGAGGAGAGTGACATGATTGAGCCTGTGCTTTAGGAGGAAGATTTTGGTGGCCTTGTGCAGGATGGATTGGAGAGGACAGAAACTAACCAGGGGGTCCATTTGGAAGGCTGTTAATCAGTCAATCAATCAACATTTTTTTTTTGGTTTTGTTTTGTTTTGTTTTTTAAGGCAATGGGGATTAAGTAACTTGCCCAGGGTCACACAGCTAGTAAGTGTCAAGTGTTGGTCTGATGTCAGATTTGAACTCAGGTACTCCTGACTTCAGGGCCGGTGCTCTATCCACTGAGCCACCTAGCTGCCCCCAATCCACATATTTTAAGTACCGATTATGTACCATCTATTGTGCTAAGTGCTGAGGATATAAAAGGAGGCAAAGAACAGTCCCTGCCCTCAAGGAGCTCACAGTCTGATGGGAGAGATACTTGCAAGCAAATGTATACAAACAAGCTATAGATACAGCAAACAGCAAATAATTAACAGAGGGAAGGAAGGCACTACGATTAAGAGGAGTTGGGAAGACTTCCCGTAAAAGTAGGGATTTTAGCTGAGCCTTAAAGGAAGCTAGGGAATTCAGTAGGCAGAGATAAGGAGGGTGAGTGTTCCAAGCATGGGGGTCAGCCAGAGGAAATTTCCAGAGCCAGAAGGTGGAATGCCTTCTTAATGGGATAGCCAAGAGACCTATGTCACTGGATCAAAGAGTATGTGGTAGGGAATAAAGTCAAAGAATGCTGGAAAGGTAGAAGGAGACTAGGTTATGAAGGGGTTTGAAAATGCCAAACAGAACATTTTGTATTTGATCCTAGAAGTGATGGGAGTTTATTGAGTGTGCGTGTTGGGGGTGGGGGGTGACATGGTCAGGCATGTGATTTAGAAAAGTCACTTTAGTGGCTGAATGGAGGATGTATTAGAGTGGGGAGAGACTTGAGATAGGCAGACCCACCAGCAGGCTGTAGCAGTAGGTGTGACATGATAAGGCCTGCACTAGAATGGTGGCAGTATCAGAGGAGAGAAAGGAGGGTATTCGAGAGATAATCCAGGTGAGAGGTGATGAGGACTTGAATCAGGGTAGTGTTTGAGTGATTGGAGGAAATGGGAAAATGAGAGGAAAATTGTAAAGAATTCATAAGATTCAACAAGTGAATGCATATGGCAAATGAGGGAAAGAGAAAAAGCCCTATGCTACAATGAAATTGCAAACCTGGTTGATTAGAAGGATGGTGGTGCCTTCATCCAAAATAATGATTCTATGTAGGATGGATGGGGGGGAGGGGGGAGAGAATGAGCATGTTGTTTATGATGCCTAAAGGATATCTAGCTGGAGATGTGTGGAGACCTCTAAGGAGGGAGCTGATGATGTGGGACTCCAGTTATAGAGAGAGGTTAGGGCCCGATAAACAGATCTGAGAATTATCTGCATTGACATGATAATTGAATCCATGGTGTGTGTGTGTGTGTGTGTGTGTGTGTGTGTGTGTGTAGATCACCAAGTGAAATAATATAGGAGAAGAGAAGAGGACCCAGGACAGAGCCTTTAGGATACCTATGGGCAGTGTGTGTGACATGGATGAAGATTCACCAAAGGAGAATGTGGAATGGTGCAATGTCATGAGCCCCAAGAAAGGAGAGAATGTCCAGGAGAAGATAATCAGCTGTGTCCAAGGCTGCAGAGAGATCAAGAAAGATGAGAACTGAGGTGGGGGAGGGGGAACATAATCTGTAAAGGGAGCTAGCATAAAAAGCAGGGTAGAAAGGAAGGGTGAGAGATTATGGATGGAACAGCCTGGCTTTGGGGTGCCCTAGAAATACATCCCCAAATGGACCAGGAAACTGGCTAGATAAGGTGAAAGCTCACCAATCCGAGCCCAGAATCTCAAGAATAGGAGTCTGAGTTCCAGTGGGAGAGGGCCAGAGTACAGGCAGTGTGGCTTAGAGATGGCCCAGAAATGAAGGTGGGTGTTAACTTACTCTTCCTAAGAAAGCCATAATAATAGCAGGCATTCATATAGAGCTTTAAAGATTGCAAACCATTTTTACATATATTACTTCATTTGATGCACACAACACCCATATAAGGTAGGTACCATTATTAGCCCCATTTTATAGATGAGGAAACTAAGGTTTATGGTAGAATGTAAGCTCTTGGAGGGCAGGGACTGTTTTCAGTTATCTTGTTTCCCTAGCACTTTGCACAGTGCCTAGCATATAGTAGGTGCTTAATGAATGTTTCTTGACTAAGACTGAGAGAGGTTAAATTACTTGCCTAGCCTAGTATTACTCAGTGATGTCAGGCAGGATTTGATCTCAGGTCTTCTTGACTCTAGGTCAAGAAGATTTTTTTGCTGCATCCAGCATGTTGCCAATCTCCCTCTAGTGTTAGAACTATTAGGGGCTTTAGAGATCATCTAGTTCCAGTCCAATTGAATCAACAAATATTTATTAAGCATCTATCGTGTGCCAGGCATGGTGCCATAAGCAATGGGAGGGGAGGGGAAAGACAATTAAAAAGAATTCTTTTCCTTAAGGAGCTTACATTCAACTACAAAATTCAGTGGCTAAGAGTGCTGGGTCTAGAGTGAGGAAGACTCATCTTCCTAACTTCAAATCCAGCCACAGACACTTACTACCTATATGACCTTGGTTAAGTCACTTTACCCTGTTTGCCTCAGTTTCCTCATCTGTAAAATGAGCTGGAGAAGGAAATGGCAAACCATTCCAGTGTCTTTGCCAGGAAAACCCCAAATGGGTTCACAAAGAGACACCACTGAACAACAACAAAGACAAATGAAAATAGACTTGATAATTTGATAAGGGAAATAACTAAGAAGAGGGGGTAAGGAAAGATTTTTAGTAGAAGTGACACATGAGTGCCAGGGGTGGGGAACCTGCAGCTTGGAGGCCACATGAGGCCCTCTAGGTCCTCAAGAGCAGCCTTTTGACTGAATCCAAACTTCACTTCATGACCCCTGCACAAAAGAGTTTATAAAACCCTTTCCTGAGAAGCCACCTAATACCATGCCAAAAAATAACTACTAATATTTTTATAATTTTAAAATGTGCAAAGTGTTTTACATCTATTATCTCATTTGAGCCTTTCAACAACCCTAGAATGTAACTATTATAGATATTATTATCTCCAT